TTTGTCAATTCGCGTTATATTATATTATGCGTTATCACGAGATTTAGTAGCGCATAGACAAATTAATTAATTAAGTATAGTTAGTTTGTACGTGCTAATAGTAATTTGTTGGGGTGTCATTTTTCAGGTCCTTGCCAACCAGAAACAATAGAAGGATGAGTGAAATTAATAACGAAATTGAATCAATTCTGCTCAATCTAATCGGAGAAAGAATGCAAGCTATGCAAGAAGGAGAAAATACCAAAAATGACTTGCTCGGTTTGATGCTTGAGTCCAACATGAGGGGCACAGATGAGAATGGCCAATGCATCTCAGGAATGACTATTGATGAGGTCGTGGAGGAATGCAAGTTGTTCTATTTTGCAGGAACAGAAACAACATCAATATTACTCACATGGACAATGGTCATACTAAGTATGCACCCCGAGTGGCAAGATCGTGCAAGGGAGGAGGTCCTCGGCCTATTTGGAAAGAATAAAATTGAGTACGAAGGCTTTGGCCGGCTAAAAACGGTGAGTAGTGTTTTATTTACTTGATTTCGTTGTTCTTATGAAATATATATTCGGAAGCATAAGTTGTTTTGTCTACAGTGTAGGTGACCATGATTCTTTATGAGGTGCTCCGATTATACCCACCGGCTGTCGCTTTCATCCGAAAAACATACAACGAAATGGAGATTGGAGGTATCACATACCCTGCTGGTGTGCTCATCGAGCTTCCTGTGTTGTTAATGCACCATGACCTAGACATATGGGGAAGCGACGTGCATGAGTTCAAACCGGAGAGGTTTGCCGACGGGATATCCAAGGCATCCAAGAATCCATGTGCGTTCCTACCATTTGGTTGGGGGCCACGTATTTGCATTGGCCAACAGTTTGCAATGCTTGAGGCCAAGATTTCCTTGTGCATGATCCTTCAATGCTTTGAGTTCGAGCTTGCGCCGTCATACACTCATGCTCTAGATAACACGAAAATGCTACTTCCTATGCATGGTGCGCAAATTAAGCTCAGGGCAATTTAATCGTTACACACGAAAGTATGCATGTTCACTATTTACCGTCATCTGGCTCATTATGTAATCAGGCATAAAATTACGACAAGGATGGGCCTTTTCATATGACCCTTCCATTTTATTCTCGTAGACAGAGACTGCCACATCTGACCTCTGTCACATGGTGCCACTTCATCTCAACTATTGTTTCAAGAATCTTATAAATTAGTTGCACCAATCTTCCCTTTAATGCGGTGAGCTCCAATGCTTTATTCTCAAAATAATAGGCTCTCTATAGAAAACCAAAGCGTGAACAAATATCAATCTTTAATTTAATTATTACTGCTATGGTTCAGAATTGATGTTTTTTCATGTATGATTATATTATGAAAGAAGTATGTGTTTTGGTCCCCACAACTATTGTCAACCACTACTGGAATTGTTGCAATTGTCGAATTCCTAGGGAGCTCAGCAAAGCCCAGAAAAAACTCGGCATTGTGTTTGCCAAGTTTCATTCTCGGTAAACAACACTCGGCTGAACAAGGGTCGGCAATCATTAACTTTGCCGAGTTTCTATTATCGGGCACTCACCAAACATTTAAAAATCCATTGCCGAGTTTCAAAAACGAGAACTCGGCAAAGTACCATGTTTGGTGAAACGATCATTAATGGCGGTGCCATGTGGCTAGCAACCTTTGTCGAGCGTGGAACTTGGCAGTCCAATGATGACTAGGGGTAATATGTGTGGCACATTTTCTGTCGAGTTCCCTTTTGCTGAAACTCGTCATACCTTTGACGACTATGAAACTCGGCAGACCTTCGACAAGTATGTGTGGGCCACGTGTCATATGTGCTTGCTTAGTCTTTTCTTTGCCGAGCTCCGCACTCAACAAAGCCAGCCTGGTGATGCTAGTTGATGAGTTGGTTTTGTTTTGCCCATAGAGTATATCCTGGTGCTAAAACCCATCACATCATGTATGGCCGATAATTCTTTGGGGTAAACATTCTTGGTTCGGTTGCCTCGGAAAAAATCATTAATGACATTTTTTTGCTAAGTACACATGAAGACACAAACAAAGTTAATGAGTGATATTATGTTCATCCCCTATTTTACAAAAAAAAGTCTCACAAAAAATTATTTTATTTCGAATAAATAACAAGAGGGGCCAAACTCTCAAACCTTGAAAAACTTTGAATCCTCTAGCTTAAAGGTGGCCAGTTGGAAGATGTTCATCCTCGTCGATGAAGACGACGGAGCTACGCCGCCCGTTGTTTTCCATGGAGAAAGGTGGTCGATGGACGACCTCCACATCAGTGGAGCTACGCTGCCCCATGATTTTCTTGAACAATGATGGTAGATGGGAGGTCTTTTTTGATTCGTCGATGAATTTTCTGGTCAAAGCGAGGCCAATCCCATGGACTGGGACGGTCTCGTGAAGGAGGAATCCGATGAGGAGGAGCTTGCACTCTGGATCGCAATCCAGTGCTCGCACGTGAACACCGACGAGAGCCCGAGCTCTGTCGCATTCGCAACAAGCTCCTTCATGCCCGACGGCCAAATGTTGGCTGCACCCGCCCTTCTAGCTCCACGACGCTCTATATATGGAGCAGGGTCTCCGCTTCCCCTCCGATTTCAGCTCGCCCAGGCAGTGGTAGGCGCTCGTGTTGGGGAACGTTGCAGAAAATTAAAATTTTTCCTACGGTTTCATCAAGATCCATCTATGAGTTCATCTAAGCAACGAGTCAAGGGAGAGAGTTTGCATCTACATACCACTTGTAGATCACGAGCGGAAGCTAGCCAAGGGGATGGTGATGATGGAGTCGTACTCGAACGTGATTCGGATCACCGATGTCCAAGTGCTGAACGGACAGCACCTCCGCGTTCAACACACGTACGGGACGGGAGACGTCTCCTCCTTCTTGATCCAGCAAGGGGGAAGGAGAGGTTGAGGAAGATTGCTCCAACGGCAGCACGACGGCGTGGTGTAGTTGGTGCAGCAGTACTCCGACAGGGCTTCGCCAAGCATATACGGAGGAGGAGAGGTGTTGGGGAGGGGAGGGGCTGTGCCTTGGCTTGTGTTAAGCTCTCATGCGCCTCCCCACTATATATAGGGGTGGAGGGGCTGGTTTCTTGCCCTCCAAGTCCATTGGGGCGTTGGCCAAGGTGGGAGGAAAGAAATCCCATCATTTCCTTCCCCACCGATTGTTATCCCCCCTTTTTAGGGATCTTGATCTTATCCCTTCGGGATATGATCTTATTCCTTCTAAGGGGGGATCTTGGTGCGCCTTGACCAGGGGTGTGGGGCCTTTCCCCCACTACTCACGTTCATGTGGGTCCCCCCATGCAGGTGGGCCCCACTCCGGAACCTTCTAGAACCTTCCCGGTACAATACCGAAAAATCCCGAACATTTTCCAGTGGCCAAAATAGGACTTCCCATATATAAATCTTTACCTCCGGACCATTCCGGAACTCCTCGTGATGTCCGGGATCTCATCCGGGACTCCGAACAACATTCGGTAACCACATACAAACTTCCTTTATAACCCTAGCGTCATCGAACCTTAAGTGTGTAGACCCTACGGGTTCGGGAGACATGTAGACATGACCGAGACGTTCTCCGGTCAATAACCAACAGCGGGATCTGGATACCCATGTTGGCTCCCACATGCTTCTCGATGTTGTCATCGGATGAACCACGATGTCGATGATTCGATCAAACCCTGTATACAATTCCCTTTGTCAATCGGTACGTTACTTGCCCGAGACTCGATCGTCGGTATCCCAATACCTTATTCAGTCTCGTTACCGGCAAGTCACTTTACTCGTACCGTAATGCATGATCTCGTGGCCAACACTTGGGTCACCTTGAGCTCATTATGATGATGCATTACCGAGTGGGCCCAGAGATACCTCTCCGTCATACGGAGTGACAAATCCCAGTCTCGATCCGTGTCAACCCAACAGCTACTTTCGGAGATACCTGTAATGCACCTTTATAGTCACCCAGTTACGTTGTGACGTTTGATACACCCAAGGCACTCCTACGGTATCCGGGAGTTACACGATCTCATGGTCTAAGGAAGAGATACTTGACATTGGCAAAGCTCTAGCAAACGAACTAAACGACCTTTGTGCTATGCTTAGGATTGGGTCTTGTCCATCACATCATTCTCCTAATGATGTGATCCCGTTATCAACGACATCCAATGTCCATAGCCAGGAAATCATGATTATCTGTTGATCACAACGAGCTAGTCAACTAGAGGCTCACTAGGGACATATTGAGGTCTATGTATTCACACGTGTATTACGATTTCCGGATAATACAGTTATAGCATGAATAAAAGACAATTATCATGAACAATGAAATATAATAATACTTTTATTATTGCCTCTAGGGCATATTTCCAACAGTCTCCCACTTGCACTAGAGTCACCAATCTAGTTACATTGTGATGAATCGAACACCCATAGAGTTCTGGTGTTGATCATGTTTAGCTCGCGAGAGAGGTTTAGTCAACGGATCTGCGACATTCAGATCCGTATGTACTTTGCAAATTTCTATGTCTCCATCTTGAACATTTTCACGGATGGAGTTGAAACGACGCTTGATGTGCCTGGTCTTCTTGTGAAACCTGGGCTCCTTGGCAAGGGCAATAGCTCCAGTGTTGTCACAGAAGAGTTTGATTGGCCCCGACGCATTGGGTATGACTCCTAGGTCGGTGATGAACTCCTTCACCCAAATCGCTTCATGCGCTGCCTCCGAGGCTGCCATGTACTCCGCTTCACACGTAGATCCCGCCACGACGCTTTGCTTGCAGCTGCACCAGCTTACTGCTCCACCATTCAACATATACACGTATCCGGTTTGTGACTTAGAGTCATCCGGATCTGAGTCGAAGCTAGCGTCGACGTAACCCTTTACGACAAGCTCTTCGTCTCCTCCATAAACGAGAAACATGTCCTTTGTCCTTTTCAGGTACTTCAGGATATTCTTGACTGCTGTCCAGTGTTCCTTGCCGGGATTACTTTGGTATCTAGCTACCAAACTCACGGCAAGGTTTACATCAGGTCTGGTACACAGCATGGCATACATAATAGATCCTATGGCTGAAGCATAGGGGATGACACTCATCTCTTCTTTATCTTTTGCCGTGGTCGGTGACTGAGCCGAGCTCAATCTCACACCTTGTAACATAGGCAAGAACCCCTTCTTGGACTGATCCATTTTGAACCTCTTCAAAATCTTATCAAGGTATGTGCTTTGTGAAAGTCCTATGAGGCGTCTCGATCTATCTCTATAGATCTTGATGCCTAATATGTAAGCAGCTTCTCCAAGGTCCTTCATTGAAAAACACTTATTCAAGTAGGCCTTAATGCTGTCCAGAAATTCTATATTATTTCCCATCAAGAGTATGTCATCTACATATAATATGAGAAATGCTATAGAGCTCCCACTCACTTTCTTGTAAACGCAGGCTTCTCCATAAGTCTGCATAAACCCAAACGCTTTGATCATCTCATCAAAGCGAATATTCCAACTCCGAGATGCTTGCACCAGCCCATAAATGGATCGCTGGAGCTTGCATACTTTGTTAGCGTTCTTAGGATCGACAAAACCTTCCGGCTGCATCATATACAGTTCTTCCTTAAGATGCCCGTGAAGGAATGCTATTTTGACGTCCATCTGCCATATCTCATAATCATAGTATGCGGCAATTGCTAACATGATTCGGACGGACTTTAGCTTCGCTACGGGAGAGAATGTCTCGTCATAGTCAATCCCTTGAACCTGTCGATAACCCTTAGCGACAAGTCGAGCTTTATAGATGGTGACATTACCATCCGCGTCTGTCTTCTTCTTAAAGATCCATTTGTTTTCTATTGCTCGCCGATCATCGGGCAAGTCTGTCAAAGTCCATACTTTGTTTTCATACATGGATTCTATCTCGGATTTCATGGCTTCAAGCCATTTGTTGGAATCTGGGCCCGCCATCGCTTCTTCATAGTTTGAAGGTTCACCGTTGT